ACCCCTCTACAGCTTCCACTGAGATTTGTAATGGTATGACCCATCACTGAAAACCCTAGCATTACAATCTAAAGCTAATTATTTATTCTGAAAATGCTCAGTTGTTCTCTCAGTGGTGTTGGGAGAGGTAGTTTTGGATGAAAATGACCCACTTAGGATTTTCAGATCTGGAAAAAAAATTATGTGCATATTCGGCAGAGACTTGTTCATCAACCTGCCAAGTTTCATCAATATATGCTGCAGAATTTCTGAGAAAATGTTAGAGACGTCACAGACAGAAATAAGAATTAATAGTACGCCTTTCAGGCTGCACCTGAAACAGGGACTAATAAACAACTGCGTAAACACTACTTCAAATACCATATAAGTATAACAATTCCAGACTGTCCTTGCCTGTGGTAGTCCATTTGCATTCCTATTAGTAATTCCCAACATCAAATGAATAGTGTATAAGTGCAAATCTCTAATGTAACAATCTGTGTTTTTTCTACATTTTGTAAAAGCAAACAAATAGGGTGGGGTTCAATGAGCTTCACTAAAACTAATTTTGCGTTTGCTTGATCATATTGATAAGCCAGCTGCTTTTATTTGACTGAATACTTCGGCTAAATGAGCCAGGTGTTCAGGGCACTGAACATATGGAGTTGCGATAACTTATTGCACGAGTATCTTGACTTAAATGTACTTTCCACTATCCCTTTGTAAACACTTGAATATGACGTGCATTACCCAACAGCCAATTACCTCATCTGTACGCATCTTCAAAAATACATCAAACTCTAATATCACAGGGGTGTAAAACGATATATATCGAGGTAGGTGAAAGAAGCTACTTGACGGTTGAAATAGCTCCGCTGTCCTACAAGAACATTGTCGTAGCCAAGTCGAGCAACGTACATCCATAAGACTAAATGCAGTTAATGCACACAACATGTTTGGTTCTGGCTGTTGAGAACATGTCAATTTAATTTCATCAAACACATTGTTCATAAAAATAATGTACACCTCAAATGTCAAAGCAATCTGATTACAACAATCTTTGCCAAAAATGGAGAATTTATGATATCGGCACAAAATGAACAAACCTGAAATCTGTCAACGCAAGGTACCTACATACTAAGTATCAAAGCAATTTGGCTGGTAGTTTTCAAGAAGGATTCCCATTTTTCTACCAAAAATGACAAATATATTCACCAAAAAATTGAAGAGAATTGAAGATATCGTCATGAAATTTGATAAAGGTCCACCCCAAGCAATTAAGCTGATAGTTTACCTTTTTCTAAGCGAAATTCAGAATGCACATATGTATTACTTGACCAGCCAAGTGCACAGAAGTTTCTTAAACTTGGACAAGTTATTTGCTGTTAGCAATGCACATTTCAATTAACGAATTGAGAATATTATCACAAAATAAACAAATCTGAGAGAGGTCCACCTGTAGTACCTTTATGTATAATATCAAAGCAATTGGACTTGGTTTTCAACAAAGTCAACAAGTCAAACATATCACTTTTTAAAAATTAGGGAACTGAAGGCATCACGAAATGAGCAAATCTGAGAGGTCCATCAAAGCAATCAAAGCAATCAGCCTTGCAGTTTTCAACAAGAAGTCAAAAATATAACTTTTTATTAAAAATATTCAGCAAAATTAGAGAATTAAAGATATTATGAAATAAAAGGTCTAAGTGAAGTCAATGCAATCAGGCTTGTAGTTTTCAAGAAGTCGAAAAAGTAAAAAGTTCACATGGATGATGGACAATCACTCATATAAGCTCCGCTCGACAAATAGACAATAGCTAAAAAAGATTTGTTGTTGAAATATGAAACTCAGTTTAATGTATTTTGACCAGTTTTCAATTAAAAAAGGGCAACCAAAGGAGAGTTCAATACTGAGGGAGACATTTTGGTTACCCCAACAGTGTATTGATTCTTTTAAAGCGGGGAATCGTCACCTCCACTTGCGTCAGATGGCCATTTTACAAACAAGCCCATGCGCCTTTGCGTTTTTAGCGCGTGTTGTTATTGTCGTTTGGTACTCAATTCCTGTGCGTTTCTTATGACATGATCCAGACGTCACGTGACATTTTTATTGACTGGGAGTATATTTTTTTTGCAAAATGGTTGCATTCTTTGCATTTTCGTTTACTATGTCGATATATGTGGGCTGTATGCGACAAGATTGACAGTGCGTGTAACAAATGTGTTTTGTTAACCGCATGACGATTCTATGCATTTCACGTAGATATCATACATATCATTTGACATAAATACAACTGGTTTATGATTGGTCATGTTCAAAATGTTCATCAAAGCCTTATTGAATTGATCATTTTAGCATTAGTCAATCGTGGTTGATTTTTTGAGGGGAAAAAAATTAAATAATGTGTTTAACATTCAATTTCAGCAGTGGATTCCATAGACTACAATGAATACACATTTCATCGTTAAAACCCCACTAAAAATATTGTCAATTTGAAATAATACTATCAAAAAGCGCCCTCTGTTTTCATCATATGTCACTGAGGAAATGAGATTTAGAGATATAACTTTGCTTTGAAATAATGGTAAAATGCCCTAAAACAGAAAAATCGTGCTATTTTCATCCCATTTTGTACATCGATTTTCTCCAAACCGAGTACGGTTACCTCATATATTTAATCATTTTCATATTCCTTGTAACATGTTATATTGAATGTGTCAAAATAATGAAAATGACAATGTTTTAACTTTTGAGTAGCATTCTACATTAATCGAGGTACTCTTCTTTCTCCCCCTGCTGTCTCCGCGTGAGGAACACTCTAATATTTGTGTACTTTGAATGCGTCTAATTAAAAAATAAAATTCCAATATATCGCGGCCCTTTCCATGACGTACATATTGTCATTAACGTTAAAGCGGGAGGGACGTCACCTGTGCACGTGCGAGAATTGAGTT